TAATGGTAAGCTCTCACCTTTGAAAGCCGCGCTGCTCCTGTGTGGACTCAAATTTGACTTCAGTTATGTGACCTTCGTTCGTTTTGTGTCTGCCGTTTGTAAATGGGATTTAGCGTGTGCAAAAATATTTATGGCATTTGAGATGGTTCTTTTCAACAAACTCCTTCCATGCAACCCAGCGGAAGCGTTTAACGTAAGCTTCGCTTTATTTACAGGGAATAAGTAAAATAATGTGATTACAACGGAGTTTAAGTTGGTACTACCTACTGAAAGCATAATGTTGGAGACAAGGAGCAATTGTGCCGAATCTGCTGGTGTCACGCTGAATACTCCGGCACTGCACCTCATGCCATTGGTGAAGGGCATGGCGTCAGCGAAGCGAGTGTTCCGGCAATTGACAGTACAGCGTTGAACTTGGGCTATCAATAGAAAAGTCTCTAATATTGGCTCGAAAACGTCCACTGTGCAATAAATACTCTTCGTCCTTTTATATGACTCAAAGCTTTGGTTCAGTCAGTCTATTATGAAGATTCAGTTGACTTGTGACTAAGTAACGCTCATTTGTCACTGAGGATTATATTATTAATACGTTATTATTGCAGCAAAATTCTGACTTGAGTTTTTGAATCATTCAATGCTGATTATGTTACTCAATGTTGGTAGAGCCGTTCTATCGAATTTTTATATGTAGGTTTCTTAACTGTTACGGTAACAACCCATTAATGAATTTAATTGCGTCATTAAGTATTGTTAGTTATTTGTTAGCGTTGGTCTAGTTTGTAGCCAAGTCGAACTCAAACTTGAGTCATAAACTGAAAATATAGGGAATGTGGTTCAGAAATTTGGCGGTTTACTACTCATATGATATTTATCTATTTCTCTCTGGATTTCAGACTGATTAATGTAGAATAAAAAGTCCTTGACGGCTAGGGCAGCTTTGAAAATGTAACTTAATGCTTGAAGCTGCGGGTTAACGAAGTAGTGGTAGCAGAGGCTGACAAAACTCGTCATGCGTGCGGTATTCTTGTGTCAAACGACAGCTGATCACAAACTATCACGGAAGGATTGACGATCACCGTCTGAATTAACCCCTGTTTGAAGCATTATATTAGAAATTCAGCTGTAAACATGTGACGGTAAATTTTCCAGTCTAGTTGAAGACCTCTGTGCGACTGTAGATTGTTAATCTGGCAGTTTGATTCTCTGATTATCAGGCGATCCGCTTTCTAGCGGGCATTGTTCATTTGGGCTGGCAGGTAATCTGCTCGCTATTATGGAAACTACTCTAGGTCCATCTCTGCGTTGCACGGAGCAAGACACCCGATTTGGTTATGAAAGTTACTGTAACATTATGCAAGTATTCCTTGAATTGCGATGGGATTACGTTCCGACGAAATTCTCATATCAAATATGAATATGATACTTTGAATACAAGCAAATAAGTAACTGCTGTTATTTGATAAGTAAATAAACAAATAATTGTTGTGACTAACTAAATGCCAGTAGCTGAAAAATTAACATTAATTGCTGGAAGATGATACTAGGAAAGAAGCTGTAGCAGAGGCATAAATTTCTTTTTCTTCTTATGATTCGTGTCCGCGAGTACAGCACGTGGAAGGCATTGGGTCGTTGACACTTGTCAAAGTTCAGGAGCAGGCGCTTGCTTCTTCAGGAATACATGAATTTTAGACTGGACAGTCTGTTTCTTTGTTTCGTTGTAAATGTCCTTATAGCAAGCTGGAGCATCCTGTATTTGTCTTTCAGATTTTGCGGATCTCATAGTTATGATTATATCGTCACTGTATGATGCGTTTCTGAGCACTGTATAAAATGATTTGTTTGCGCTCTCGATCGCTACAGAGACTGAGGACGTATCGCTATCGCATCATCATTAGTCAAATCATCGTACAGTGAGGTGCATCTGTATGAATATAGTCATCATCATCATCATCTTCCATCGCCGCTTCTCCTCGGGTCGCGGAGGCAGATACGTCAGACAGAGCTTCCAACGTTCCCGATCCTGTGCCAGAGTCTGAGCTTCGGCAAAAGACAAA